AACTTTCCTTGAATTTGAATTTATGGATTCAAGGTTATGATTCATATTTCTGGATGATTTCTAGATGGTTTAGAAGTCATTTAGAGTTGTTAGAATCAATAGGAAGTGTTAAAACACTTTAGAAAGACTTAAACTGACTGAATGACGAAAAACTGGTGAAAAACGACAATCTGAGCGCATCCCGAGCACGCCGCGCCAGCCCCCCACTTTCTGGGGCTCTTTTTGGGCGCACTGTAGGCGCGCCGCCCCAGCCTCTCTGGCGCTATGGGGGCGCGACGCGCCTGGCCCTCCCCAGAGATCTCGTTTTCTGATCCTAAATCGTTTTAATTCAAATTTTTTTCTCAAATTCACTTTAGATTCATGTACCCAAATCATATACACAAAATCTAACCCAAACAACTCAAGGAAACAACACTTTAACATCAAGAAACTCCTTAATCCCAACTTATATTCAAGAACGAAATCAATTCAAGAACAATTATCAAGAACATCAAATTCTCAATCTTTTTAGGACGAAAATACGTTGAATTAAACATGTTTGGCGTGTGGGTGAACTAACTCAACTCTATGTGATCTCACATACCTTGTAGGATCAATTCCTTGGTGAAATCCACAAGCAAAATCGAGTGTTCTTGGCGAAATCCACAACCAAAATCGATCGTTCTTGGCGAATCTTGCTTTTCCTCTTCTCCTTTCTCTTCTTTTCTCTTTTCTCCAAGCCCTAGTGTATTTTGGTAAAAGCATAAACTGATCTAATTCTTATTGGACCCTAACTTAATTACCAAAAACGAAATAAAATAATTGGGCAAGGAAAAGACCAAACTATCCTTTCAAAATCCGGATTGGACTTTCCTTATTCCAAAACCCAATTTCCAAAGGGCATAACTCATTCATACGAACTCAGAATCGTGCAAACTCAGTGGCGTTGGAAAGATCATCCCAAGAGCTTTCCTACCATATCTGGAAGTACCTCTAACTCATCCTAAGCTAGAAGTTATGGCCGTTTGAAGTTGGCGAAAACTCAACTTATTCTAACTTAACAAAATTTCCAGATTTTCATTCTTTCCAAAAATGACTATTTCCAGTTATTAGCTTTTTCCTAGTTATTTCAAATTGCGAGATGTTATAGACAAATACATAAAAGTTTGCAAGATGTCCACTCCCGAATAGGTCTGCAGTGCGCAATTCAAATTTTGTCGGAGTTCCAATGCAGGTTTCGAATACTAGGTGGGAAACCAAAAAAAGAAAAAGTTTGCAAAATGTCAAACAGAATTACAAGGAGAATATGTAATTTGTTAATTGGAAGTAATTTTGTAACTGGTCAGTAGTGCGCAATTTAAATTTAGTTGGAGCTCCAATGCAAGTTTTAAATACCAGGGGAAACAAATAAAATGGTTGCAAGATGTCAAACAAAATTAAAAGGAGAATATGTAATTTGTTAATTGGAAGTAATTTGTAACTTTTCTTCTCAAACAGAAGGTATTTATGTTTGTGCATTGTTAAATTGCTTTCTAGCTTTATATGGAGGAGCAGTGTCTTGAAAATCATCTAAACAGACGTGTATTGTCACTTTATAATGAAGTCTGAATTTATAGCTTTAGACAAGGCTGGTGAAAAAGTTGAATGGTTTTGAGATATTTTAAAAGACATTTCATTTTTGCTCAAACCGTTCACTCATATATGCATACATTGTGATAGTCAAGCTACAAAAGAAAGGGCTAGAAGCGTTATATGTGACGGAAAATCTCGTCACATACAATAAAGACATAATATTGTTACATAACTGCTCTCTAGTGAAATTATCACTACTAACTATGTAAAGCCAAAAAATAATGTGTCAGATCTAACACAAAAGGCCTACTAGAGAGATGGTTGAAAAATTATCAAAGAGAATGGGACTATTGCCAAGGACAAGTGATTGTGGCGGTGACTCTACCATCTAGACCATCTAGAAGACTGTATATCCCAAAATCTAGGTTCAAGAAATTCAAACAAAGTCATTGATGACTGTTCAACATTATAAAAAAAAAAACCTTTAGTCCATTCTCGTGGTGAGACAATATTCAATAGTAAGGATAAAGTGTTAAGAGTTTTTAATGTTTTTTAAGTTTGATATAATACATATCAATTAGTGTATCAACATCAGTGGCGGATTCAAAATTTTCATTTAGGAGGTTCGAAAAATAAAAATACAACGTGAAAGATTGGTTCTAAAACTAAATGAAGAGAAGGTAAAAAAAATAAAATGACCACAGTGGGATTTGATCCTTGACGTGAGGGTCAAAATCTAATGAAGATCTACCACTACACTACAACTTACTTCTTGTTCATGAGGGGGTTCAAAATTGTTATATCTACATAAATTTACCTTATAATTACAACGTAATTTTTTGCCGAGGGGGTTCGGGTGAACCCCCAGAGACCACGTGGGTCCGCCCCTGATCAACATGATGACACATTTAGGAATCACTTATATAAGTGTGAAGTGTAAAGTGTAAATCGCTTCAAGGAGAATTTTGTAAAACTAATTCTCTACGCACTTATGAACCGAATAGTGTTCATCGATGAAATTAACAAAATAGTGAGAACTAAATATGGTTAAAGAGTTAATTGTGTAGCTTATGTTGTCTACGTATACACCAAAACTCGACAATTCAAATATATCGACTGATTGAGTATATCTGATATATGTTTCACTACGAAAAGTTCAAAAAAAAACTTACTTATTCAAATGCAATTAATCTTTACTTACGAATCACAGTTTGTTATTCCTGTTTTTCATCAAATAGTCATTCTCCATTTACGTAGTGGATTGTTGGGCTTTAAAAAGTGTAATTGGGAAATGAAGTATTCTTCTGAAAAGACACAAAGAGACGTGATGTAATTTGAATAACACATTTTCACATTTAATGGGTTGTGACTTTTTCTAGGGATTGTGACTTTTACGATGAATTGTCATTTTTCCGATGGATTGTGAATTTCTTTAATAGGACATACGTTCATACTACTCTTTGTTGGTTGTAGCCTGCAAATAGAGGGGTTCTCTCTGATTTTTCTACATTAATTTTTTTGAACTTCTTCTGCATATTTTCTTACAAACAAAAATATAAAAACGGTGTTGATTTGTTACTTATTTTGAGTTGGACGAAGTTATTGACGTTTGAGGTATCACTACACCAATACATTGATTTTATCTAGGGAGGAAGCAATCCATAACCTGGAGTATGGACTAAAGAAGGAATAAAGAAGGAACAAGTGACACCATCTACCCTTTATTTTAACTCCTCAAGTTATTTCAAGATAACAGGAATCAATACTTGAACAAACATTGTTTCCACCAATAGCAGCAACATTTGACTTCTTAAAGATGATAATAAAGTAATAATAATAAACAACTTTGTTGCAGGGTGAAAAATACAGAGTGAGAATAAAGTGGTAAAGATCCTGCATTAGTAATACTGAAAAAAAGAACCAACAGAAACAAAAGACACATAGCATCAAATCTTCAAATATATGATGGAATGATCAACACAACTCATAATGAACATATTCTCTATTGAATTTTAAGTTTCTTTTATATCATTAACCAATATAAAAAGGGGTCCCTGCAAGACTCTAAGCTCAACAACAATCCAACGATAATCTTTCGAAAACCAGAAGAGCAAGTTTGAAGAAAATGGGTGCTAACTACTCATCAACTTGGCATGAAACTCATAATATGCCAATCACACCACAAATCAAGAGGTCTCAAGTCATTGCTTTCCACTCTTCAACAAAATGGAAGCTCCATTTTGATTCTTTGAAAAATACAAACAAACTGGTAACCATTAACTGTGCACAAGACTATCACTGTATTTAGTCGTCTTTTGAGTGACCTGATAGTGTAAAAAAATTGTTACTTGTGTCATAGATGTCATTGTATGTATATTAGAGACCAGATGTACTAATCATTGGTATCTTTTGCTCTGTTTCTACTAGATTGTTATTGACTTCACAGCTACATGGTGTGGTCCTTGCAAATACATGGAACCAGTTCTTAACGACTTTGCTGCTAAATATACAGACGTTGAGTTTGTCAAGATTGATGTCGATGAGCTGGATGTATATACTCTTATTATCTTTAACTTCACAACCCTTTTCTTTTTTCCCTACACTTCTGGTATTTATACGGATACTAATTTCTTCTAAATCTTGGATGAACTGTAAACAGGATGTAGCTCAAGAATATGGAGTTCAAGCAATGCCAACGTTCGTACTGATAAAGAAGGGCAAGGTAGTTGACAAGATTGTTGGAGCAGACAAGGATGGGCTACAGAAGAAGATTCAGAAACACAAAGCTATCTACGTCTAAACAAACCAAAAGGCAGTTATGTCATGAGCAGAGTTTACTCGACGATAGGTGTCTCTGTAGAATAAATGTCATATCTGTGTCACTAAGAACTTGTTGTGAGTATAGTAAAATCCAAACAGGCTGATTTAAGCACTAATATTGGTATATTTGATATGAATAAGTAAAAGGTATTTCAGGTTTCTGTGTACATAGAATGTCTAATATTCATCGGTGTATCCTATGCCCCTGAACTCCACATTAGAATATAAAATATGAAAATACTAAAGTATCTTTGACATTGTCATACGACGTCTTTATCATGGAGAATCAATATAATGATAAAGATAAATGAGTGTAAGTAAAAGACATTTAGTCAGAGCACCTTGGAGTAAACCTGTCATCCGGATGGAGTTAGCTGACGAGGAGATAAATGAAAAATCTCCGAAGGAGAGATTTCGTCCATACCAATTCCAAAAAGCACCAAGGCAATATATTCATCAAAGGTCTGCCATAGATGGAATACACAATTAGAACATAGTGCCACTACTCACAACTACAATACTTGATATTTAGCATCCACCTCCAAATCAAACAACACAGCTCTTAAACTACTTACTCCTTTTACATCCAACAAAAGAAAATGCAAGCAGCTACAGAAGTAGCTACATTAGCATCCTTAAGATTATATCCTAATATGCACAATTTCATTTCTACAGAAAGGAGGCTAAATATTTACATTCCGCAGCAACTCCAAGATAGTGTTAGTGACACCTTAAGTTGAACATAGGACTAGTCAATGCTCCTGCATAGCACCCTTCTGAGATCAGATTTCTGATCTGCATTTAGCCTTGATGGAAATTTTATGTCAAACTTGATCTTCAGATTCCCTTTTTTGCCACGTTCCTTTGATATTGGCATTCCCTCATTTTGGATTATCAGCTCCTGTCCTGGTTTGACAATCTCTTTGATTGGTATTGTGAGTTCCCTTCCGTCCAAAGTAGTCAAGCTGATAGTTTTTCCAGTGAGAGCATCTAGTAAAGATATTTTCTGATTCATGACTAGATCATTTCCATCCCTCTTGAAGAGAGCATGTGGCTTTTCATCTATCACAAAAATGAGATCACCAGGGGCAGCTCCATATTCATAGTCCCCTTTCTCTGGAAAAGTTATTTTTGTGCCTTTCTTCCAACCTGGTTTGATGTGTATTGCTAAGACCTCTTCAACAGTTGTTGGCTTACTGCAAAAACAAATTCACACATGTAATAAAAGTGATTACAATAGGACTTGAGGTTAGAGCCACTGAGTGGAATAATGGAGTGAAACTTCATAATTAAAAACATTCATGGTTTGTAGTCCGCATATTCCCAAAACTCAATCATCAATCTTTGCCATTACTTTGCTACCCCACCGCTCACCTTGACCCTCCAAAAAAAAAGAACTATTGCTTTCAGTAGCTAAAAGTTTTGCCTCCCATTAACTAAAGCTTTTAATGTAGTTTTATCATTGCACAAGGGAATCAAAACACTGAGAATGATCAATCAGCATACCAAGGTGATCATAAGCTCTATCTGTAAGGAAAATGGGCATTAAACTTTGCTCAACACTAAATTTAGTTCATGAGGTGAGGATTACCAAAGACCATACACACACAAAACTAGACATTTGGAGTGTGGACAATATAACATTGGGTAAAACAATAATAAGGATAGGGTTGGCTCAAATACCATGAAAAAAATGGAATTTAGGCCTGACTTAACACTAAAAACTAGCTTACGATGTGAGACTATATAAGGAGACAACAAGTCATTCTCCTCAATCGATATGAGACAATTAATATTTTGGACAGGGGAATTGTAAACCGAGATCAATCTACCTCCCGGCGACCATAAATAAGCATTAAGCACAGGGACTTTGATATACATCTGCAAACTGGCCTGGGTTTAAGAGCTTTTGATCCTTAACAGAAAGAATTGCCATGTATTTTCTCTAAAAACATCACATGTCTTTTTCAACCTTTAAGACTTATTAAGTAACAAAGAAATGACAGAATTACTGTTTTGTCAATGTACGAATGGAGGATGTGCAAAAGCACAAGAGTTAACAAAATAAATATCTAGTACACTCAATTAGCTGAAAAACATTTGGTCAAGATGCATTTAAGACATTTAATCTCACTTAAAGATATTTTTGTAAGTGATGGACACAGAAATAACTTTGCATTAGGTTGACAGCTAGCTTGTCAGTACAAATTGAAGAGAACTTCTAGTATCACAGAGCCAAATTATTGAGTAATGAAATGATATGGGTCCAATCAGAGTGAATGGGTATTGATCCTTTAGCCAGTCTCAACTACTATAGTTGTTGTGAAAATAGTTTTCAACCACTAAAATTAAAAAATATGAAGTTGATTACTTTACCCTAGTGAGTTTCATCTTTCAGAACAAAAACTTAACACTAACATAGGATAATGATCCTATTTCATCCTCAATTCATACATTGGGTGGACTCTCCAAAAACGCTGCCGCACCCGTGTCAGATTCTCTAAAATATACTGACTATTATTTGGAGTATCTAACACGCACCCATTGACATTTTGAAGAGTCCGAGCAACATAGCTCAATTCTATCAAATAGGTTTTTGCTGCAACACCAAGGTGTTCTAACCTTTCAGTCAGTTCAAACCATGTTCTTTATAGCTATGTCAAGCAAGATACTAGCTGATACACATTGGGATGTCAAAGAGCTATCAAACTTCTACCATACTCCACCAAGGACGCGGTTTGAAAACAGAAATTGGAACTTTTGTCCATTGAACCAGGTAGCAGAGTGAATCTTGACCATTAAACATCAATGAATCTATAACCATAGAAGCATAAAGGACCTCAGTTTCGCCGAAACACCCAAAAAAGTCATACACAATTCAGCTGTTAGCAAATTCAGCAATTGAAAAGCATTTAACTTCTATCCTCCAGAGTTCAAACAAATACCAAAACACCTACTTTTTTTGCTACCAAATTTGCATTCAATCTCAGCAATTTGATGATTAAAAATGAAAATTTGTTCCAGCTACAGAACAATTTTGATTCAGAAAGTACAATAATCTCAGTCAATACCTCAGAAGAAAAGTAAATTAACTTTTTGCTTCAGAAAAAGGAAATTGACTAAAATTAAACAAAGTCATGCTTCATTAAAAAAATATTTTAATTTTTCGAATTCATCAATGATATTTAATATAGGAACAAAGATGTGCAATTACGTATTCAACGATGACGCACAAAAATACTTGTAAATATGCGTATAATATAAGGTATACCTACCCAGAATCATCAAGAAGAATCCTTGAAATCTTCATTTTCCTTCTAGATCCTTTGTAAAGCTCCTCCAAGCTACACGGAAGTTTATTCTCCACCGGCGCCGCTTTCCGACCAACTCCGGCACCAGAACCACTACTAAACCCCTCCGATCCACCAAAAATCTCAGCAAAAATATCCTCCGCATCACGCGTATTGAATCTAAACCCTCTACCATTACCAGTCCCACTACCAGCACTAGTCGGCGACGCCGAAGCAAATTGACCAGACTTCAACGCATCCTCACCGTACAAATCATAGATCTGACGCTTCTGAGGATCACTAAGCACATCATACGCCTCAGAAATCTGCTTGAATTTCGCTTCTGCTTCCTTATTGTTCTGACTATTCTTATCCGGATGCCATTTCATCGCTAATCTCTTGTACGATCTCTTTAAATCTTCTTCACTCGCATTCCTAGAAACTTTCAGTAAGTTATAGTAATCAACTCCCATTGTAGCTTGCCGTCGGAAAAATCACCACCGGCGGTCGTGAAATGCGCAAGGTAGATGAAATGATTGATGTTGAGCTAAGATACACCTGAGTGAGATAAAGAGAATTGGAGATTTTTTATATTCGAATTTTGTTAAAATGACTGCGCTGTTACAGAATGATAATGACTAGCCTTTTTCCAAAGGGATAAAGCAGACTGACATAAAAAGAAGTGATGGAAGAATCATGCTACATTATAGCCTTTTTTATACAATATTTTAAAAAAAAATAACTTTTATTAAAGTGTGGAGGTCAAATTAATTAAGCATTTTCTTTTTTGTAATTTGAATACATGAGATAAGCCTATGATGTTTCAAACATATGACGAGGAGATGCATAGAATTTAAGTGTGAAGGTGTTAGAGATTGGTTATAGAAAATGTAACCAAGCTCAAATTGAGGTAACATGAAATCTATTAGGCTAAAATCTTCAACATAAGTTCGCAAACCCTCAATTGATACCAACAACAATGATTGTTGGAAACATATTGAGAAGAGGTATTTAATTAGATAGGACATGAAATAATTTCATGTTATTTGGGACATGATCGTAGATAGGAGATTATGAAGGATACGAAATGGGATAGAGCCTAGAGGGATAATGAGATAGTTGGAAGTTATAAATATATGTATATGGAAGCAGCGGCGGAGCCAGAATTTTCAATAAGGGGGGTTCAAAATTTTAAAAAATAGCCGAAGGGGGTTCGACATCTATTAGATATACCTAAAAAATTATTTTAACTATATATAAATCATATAATTTTCCACCGAAGGGAATTCAGATTACCCCTCATTGTAAGGTGCATGGCTCCGCCACTGTATGGAAGTACTCAATCAATATTAATTAATTAAAGATTAAGAGTCAAACTTCTAAATAACCACTTAAATTTTAAGGATTACTTTAAAGCTTATTTTTATTTCATTTATGATATAATATTACTCACATATATATCACGATTTCTTTTTAAAATAATACTAAACACATTAAAAATTTCATTCGCTCTTAATTGGCATGTCATGTTATCAAAATCTTATTTATTTAAATAATAGATGATAGATCAAACTCATTAATTAAAATTATAATATCTTATCCTCTTCTTTTTAAGATTGAAATATTCATCTTTTATCACACTTAAACATTATCATATTTTTTAAAATTTTATTAAAAAAATAATTTGAAATTTAAAATTAATAATTAGTGTCAACGTGGCGTAATGTGATTGGATGTGAAATGAATTTGATGACGGAGCTGTTAATTAGTAAAGTAGTAGGCGAAGAGAACGTGCATTCGATAAAGAGAGTGGGGACCACAGACAGTATCTTCAGTGGGAAACAGAATCTGTTCTGTGTGGCAATTTGGCGACTTGACGGCGGACCCCTCTAACGACGCCGTATTATTATTCACTCCGTTTCAAAATATCTAATTGCCGTTTAGTAAAGATACATTAGGAAAAATAATGCATATATTAAGATTAGTTATATATAACTAAATACATAGAAATTTATGACATTTTTATATACATCACCAAATGATCCTTAACATCTTGTTAATCAAATGTGTATTCAGGATTTTTAAACGATGGGTGTACTGTTACAAAAAATATTGATCTAAGATATAAATTTGATCGATTCGATATTTAGGTTCTTATTACTATAAAGGTTTAATTTTTAATATTATCGATCCAAAATTATATATATAAGTTAAATGTTAAATTTAATGGTTAAGGTGTTGTGAAAGTTTCTTGAGATTGTGTGTTCGAATCCTACTAGCCTCATAATAATAATTATACGCTGTTGATCCAATTACATTAAATTTAATTATTTCGTATCGATTATTGTAGTTTAAAAGACTCATTTGATATAACAATCGATTTGGTGTAATCTCGTATTTTTATTTTTAACTACTTATTATTTAATAGTTCTATTTTATCTTTTTATAATAGTTCTATGCCATATCTTATTACTTTTTCTTTTTATAGATTTATCATTCAAATTATGGATATGTGATATGTAACCATGAAGAAAGATAACCCTGAGGGGTAGCTCAGCTGGTAAAGGCCTGGGACAAAGTCCTTCAGGTCGCCGGTTCGAGCCCCAGCAGGGCCACTGGAGGCATTACAAACCGGCCGTGTCTCCAGGGCCCCGTGGAACTAACCGTGGTGGACCCGCCTTGAAACAGCGGGACCCGATGGGTACAGCTAGTCGGGTTCGCAAAGCGACGCCCGGAAACCACGGTAAAAAAAAAAAAAAAAAAAAAACCATGAAGAAAGATACAATCTATTTAAATAGTATATTCATTACAACAATATAATACGATACATTTGTTTCCCAAAGAGTGACCTGGTTTGACTTGATACAAAGTTTTAAAAATTAAATAAGACTTTTGAATCTTGTGGTCTTAAATTAAAGTTATGTCAAATGTACTAAATTGCCCTTCAATCTTATGACTTTAAACATGTCATGTGAAAAACTGAAATTAAAATATTACCAAAAAAGGAAATAGGTCATTTTTTAAAAAATAGACTAAAAAAGAAAAGAGGTCATTCTTTTTTAAATAAAGAAAATATTATAAAATAATACGTAACAGCTATTTAAACCATGTAAGCGTTTTGGACCTATTGATGGATTAGACAGAAAGTGTGGGCCATAATATTTAAGATATAAAACAGTGCTGGTTTTAATTGTAGTGGCCCAATTTTGACTTACCAAGAAGTCTCTTTACAATTGCAAATGAAATGGTACCACACCTAAGCTAAACGTCAATTCTCAATTATTAGAGCACATGAGAGAGATGTAACAACACTAAATTTCAACTTTGATTTCCCCCCCCCAACCCCCCCCCCCCCACCCTAAAATTGCTTTCACAAACAACTTGGTAAGAGAACAGAATGTCGACGAACAGTTGTTTGCTTATGGTCGAAGTGACATTTTGAATAAATAAGTCTTAGCTACAAGCACAAAGCTCAAATACATATGTTGTTAAAAAAATTATATATTTACAGTCTTCTATTAAATAGTATATTTGAAGAAAAAAAATATAATTTAACTTACCTCAATGTCTTTTGAGGTAAGTTAAAAGACATTGACTACTATTGAGAGAATATATGTTGGTTTGATTCATTTTTTGTTGTTTTAAAAATAAACTTAGGCAAATCATCCTTATATATTGATTTCACGGTTTAACTTGTTGTTGGATGATATTAATTACCTTGTGTTCGATTATGAACCTTATATGTTGATGATTTCTCTAAGTAGCATAGGTTGATGATAAGAATTTCTAAAGGCCAACCTTTATTATTACCTTGTTAGGATTGGTCTATCATATTCATGGGCGGACCCACAAGCACCCGACAACTTTTAGATTTTTTTTTCTTATATATATATATATATTCTATAAAAAGATAGCATATTTAAGTATGCCCAAACATATTTATCTCAGTAATTATTTCTACTTATTTCTTTTTTCTTGTTAAAAGTGGGGCAAGATAAATATGGGGGCCCATGAAAAGTGAACCCTTGAGATGTTTATCTCAGTATAGGATGAAATAATCAAATATGCCCAAAAAAAAATAGAGGGAAGTAATAGTAAATTTATGTTTCCAATGAAATTAATTTATTTAACTATTGTTACAAAAACTAATATATATTCCATTCTCAAATTTTAAGTTGTAAAGAAGTTGGTTAATTCCTTTTGTCACTTAGTATAGACCTTCAAGATTTAATTTTTTTGGAAATTAACAATTAAGTAAATTGTTTGTTACACCACCTATATATATCACAGGGTATCTAGTGCATTCATATACAAATAAAAAAGAAATTATCAAGATATAATTGTATAAAAAATGGTGAAGGTAACAAGCAATTTGTTCTCTCTAATTTTCTTGTTCATTTTGTTAGTTAAGATTTCTCTTTTCTCTCTTAATTCTTTCATAAGAGTTCTCTCCTTTTCTTTCTTCTTCTTATGGTAATTAAAATAGACTATTTGTGTGATCATTTGATCCAAATGATAGTATATTCACAGTTTGATTAAAAATTAATTGATAAACTTATAACCAAATGTTATAGGATAAACTATAAAGTCATAACTATTAACACGCAATATCAATTTCATCGATAAGAGACATATACATACCTATTTTTACAAGTGTTGTTCCAAGGTAATTGTCTCTCTCCATCATATTTATGTCTTGCCCCCACCCTACCCCACCTCGCCCTTCCCCAACCCACTCATAACACTCCCTTCTACCCTACATAATCGTACATCCATCATCGCATTATATATATATATATATATATATATATATATATTACATGATAGGGGTCAAGCTACCCCCCCCCCCCTCTTTAACCTTAGGTTCACAATCTAATGATGATAACTTATTAAAAAAAAATTACAATAACCAGCGGTGGACATGGAACCTTGCATCTAACGAAGGAAGTAGCATGTACGTTGGTTCCCACCTAAACTACAAAGAGAAAATTAGCTAACAAAGAAATTACATCTGTCATATTTCCTCGTAAAAGAAAAAAGACGTCACTTATCAAGTTGAAACAAACCCTTTACTTATCTAGAAAGATTCTGAAGATAAAGATACAAATCTTTTTTTCTTCGTACATAACACACCCTTAATTTCTATGTACGTATTATCAATAAATTTAACTTTTGATCTCTTAACATTTCTTATGATTTATTCACAGGTTCACCATCATATATGGTATTGGGACAAGTTCAAAATTGTAAAAGCCAAAAAGATTGTGATCCTGCATCTTGTAAACATGGAATTCTACTATGTATAGAAGGATTTTGTATGTGTGATGAGCCACCAATGTACGTGAATAGTGATGGTCCTTGCAACAAGAAAAGTGATTGTGATACAACTAAGTGTGCTCCCATATGTCCACCAAAATGTATTCATGGAAATTGTGTTTGTAGTGGGCCTTATTGTATGTGAACATGAAATATAATTAAATATAAGAGAACAATTTTTATCTTATATTTCTAAACAAAGCAAATTAATATTAATAATAAAAAAATATTTTTCTTC